CTCAAATCAATGTGCTATGATTTGCTTGCTTAGCTAACTCCCTTTGTTTTATGAGGAATTTACCTGCTGCTGACCACATGTGTTCATTATCTTTCTTGGATGGAGGATAGGGCTCCAGTCTTGGATCTGGGGCCCTACCTTAATGGAAGGGCATTGGGGGCTTAAGGTCAAAGTTGGACTTTGTTCTCCCTATGGATTATAACGTTCTCACTCTAAAATTTGGGCAATTTCTCTGCTTCAGGAATACTGATATAATTTAAAACAAGGAGGTTATTCAATTATCTGTGAGTCAACATAATTTTCCATGTAGTAGTTATATGGAAAATCATGAATGTGTATATGACTTTATTCATTTCTGATTTTTAAAATATTTACAGTAGGTTGCAGTAAGTGTTCTACAGAAATAATAAATAAGAGGGCATTCTGGACCCATGAAGGGGGGTGTTTAATATAGCCTTGGGGAATCAGGAAAACTTCCTGAAGGAATTCATGTCTAAGCTAAGATCTGACCATTTCACAAATTCCTATGAATCCTAAAATTCTGTGATATCAATGTGTGTGATGTTTTACCGACCAAATTACTGTGTCTTTTAAGGTCCTGAATTCCTATGTTACATCAACATGTTCACTGTTTACACCAGATTTAGGAAAACAGTATGATCTCTTTAACTGGATAGAAAGGCAGCTTAGCTTTGAATCCAGGCTCTGTAATTCATTAGTCAAGCAGCCTTGGGTGAATTGTTTAACCTCACTATGCCCATCTACAAAATGAGGATAATAATAGCACTTATGGGAATTTTATGACATTAAATAGGTAATACACATAATATGTTTAAAACTGTGTCTGACATAAGACTCAATAAATAAAATCTCTATTCAAAGCATTTCTTCTTAGGCACTTAGCACAGGTCTTGGGACCTCTGTTTAAACCCACCATTCTATCTTTTTAGACTTCTTCTCTTGCCACTGGACACCCCAGCCCATAGGGCTACTGATAAGAATGATCAGCAAATGGCAAAATAAGCTTTAAGGCAGCCCAGCAAAGAAGCAACTACTGAATACAAGTGTAATTCATAGACAGTTCTCCTGGGATTTGAATACCATTTCAATAATCTTGATGTTCTCCACAGTGCCTGGCATACAGCTTTGCACACACTAGTGTTCAATATTTATCTCTTGCATGTACAAATGAAGTGTAATACATTGCAAAACTTGCCTTTTCTGTCCACCATGAGTCCTTTCAACCCTTAACCCCTTTTCCCCACTGTTTATCTCCTCTTTGTATCCATTAAATCTGGATCCTCAGAGGTATATGTTGCTTCTGCGTTCAAGGAGGATTTAAAAAGGAAAAATCAAAGTGGTGAGCTAAATTGCTCTATACGGGTGCTGTGTGTTTGTGTGTGTGTATGTATGTGTGTGTGTGTGTGTGTATATATATATATATATATGTATAAAATATGTTCACCTCTCCTGGACAATGCAGTGATAATGCTTTTCAGCATATCATCTATACATTTAAAAATTTCCACTGTACACTGTACGTCTGTCTTCTTTAAAGTATGAATCATATTGTTCTAAGTTGATCACATATGCCCAGCCCCCTCCTTCTACTCTGTGAACATCACTCAGGTCCCCTAAGGATCTGAAGGGCCTAGAGCAAAAGGGCCAGTTGAAGCCCTTGTACCATATATGGAAATACAATGTCATAATAATTTACAAGTCTGGGTTTGAAATGAAAACCCTCAGACTCTTTGAAAATCTGTTCTTGCACTACAGCAAGAACTTGCTCCAGTGTCTGGCTGCTTCTCTTCCCACACATGACTTATCCCTCACTGAACCTCAAGCTGGTGCACGTACATGGACACCAGGCTGGCACATCTCTTAGGATTTGAGGGGTGCACACCAAAGGCCCAGATTGTTTGTGAGATGATGGCATAGGGGAAAAGGGCCAAGAAGACCCTAGAAATAAATTTAGGACCATTTGAGCAGGGACTTTTTGTGTCCTTGGTACTAAAAGTGAGGTTTAGAACAAGAAGGTATGTTCAGGTTTGGGATCGACGTTATTGCACTGCCCTATGGTTTAACTCTGCCCCCTGCCCAGTCATACAGCCTTCATCCAGCCACAGGGGATGGTCTGAGGGTACCCCCTACCACACTGACTTTGAGGAACTCACTGCTGACTGTGGAGGCTTCCATCTAAAGAAATGATTACAGTGTAGCAAAAGAAGATGTGCATTGAGAAGGTGCGCCTGGAAGTCTTTGACTTCGTGAGGTATTCGAGTAGCCTGAAAGGAAGAGTGGTTTACAGTAGCTTAGCTTTGGGGGGCAAAGGGAGAAAGGGAAGAGCGTCTCAGTCAGAAAGAGCAGCTTGTTCAAATGCACAAGGGTGGGAATGAGCAGAGTAAGTTTGGGAAACTGGAAGGAGGTGATTTGATCTGGTTGTGGCGGCCAGAGTAGGCAGGGGCTCACACATATATCCTCAAGTTACCAGACAAAAATGAGAAACTCATTTGCACAATTTCGTAAATGCAGTGGCTTAGGATGGAAACCTTCTCCTGGAAATATACTTACTCTCCCTTCTCACCAAAGCTTCCTGCTGCACCTACCAGCACCTGGACTTCACTCTGGGACAGAATCTCATCCCTGTATTGTCTCTGGTAGCTCGCCTAAAAGAAACATTGTGTCAAATATTACATAATATGGATAAAAATGACAATGTATTATTCCCTTTATGGAAAAATAATCTGTGAGAAGGAAGTCAAAATTCCCAAGTAATCTAGTACCTTTATAGAAAGACTCTTTCTATGGAGACCAGACTATGAGATTAGTGCAGAAAGTAGGTCTGAGCTTTGGGTGGAATGAAACTGGTTCTGCAGAAAACTAGGCCCCTATTAGATGTTAATTAGATTTTCAAAAATGAGTGGAGTTCTGTGGCCAAGTAAGTGTGGGAACTGCTACAAACTATCCCCATCTGAAAAGTTTATAATGCATATTAGAAGAGTAGAGGCACTGAGAAATCTTACAGTAAGGGATTCTGGTTTATGCCTTTGCTTAATTCCAGTTTCCCAAATATTTTGACAACAGCACTCTCTCATCTCCAATTAATTTCAAGCATGAAATGTACTTCCCCTTTGGTACAGAACACAGATATTCATTCAGTCAGTCCATGTCCTGAGAACCACTTTGCTTCAGTGTGTTGAACATTATTGAGAGTCATCTTCCTAAATTGGAATGCATGACATGATTAAGGATTCCCAGGTTCTACAGAAGACATTCTGTCTGCATAATCATTTATGGACATTAAAACATGGTTTTGCTCTTGGAGGAATACTAGAAAGGGATAGAACTAAATTTAAAGATGAAAAATCAAAAGGCTATTTGTTCATAATTACAGAAATTCAGCAGAGTATCATTTTCCTTTTTAAACATCATTAGAATACTTGTAAAATACCCTGAAATTAAAATATTTTCAGTATCCTCAAAGATAAACACTGTAGTTTGTGGGAAAAATGGGAGAAATAAGGAAGCTGAAAATAATATGAAACTCATGTCATTCGTCACACAAACAACGAAGGAGTTCAATCCTAGAAAAATGTTAATTCTTAAATGATCGTTCACATCAAAATGTAAGAAGAATTTAGAGAATGGTTGATTCCTAAAAATAACTACCACTCATTGAGGTCTCTAGTATAATATTGAATTAACATCATAATTTATGTTTTACATAAAGTTATTTAATTCTTGCAACAACTTTATGAGTAAGGCATTTTAATTGGCATTTTACAGATGAGAAAGCTGAGGCTCAGGGAGTTAAGTAGTTTTCTCAAGATCACATCAGAACCTCAGTTTCTCTCTGAATTTAGAGTCTGTCCCCCATTCCCCCATTAGGTTATGCTGCCTCTCCGGTACCACTATCTTGCCATGATGTTATTTCTCTTCTAATGTACAGTTGTAGAAGAGATATTGCTCCAGTTAGTAAGAACTGGCTGAGATTTAAATAAAAAATCTCAAAGCTTTGAAAACTGTAATAACCAATGAATAATACTATTGGGAGCCGTGAACATTAGAGTTAAGATTGTAGAAATCAAATCAACAAGCCAAGATAAACATGAAAACATGTTTAGAAAGAAGAAGGACTAAAAAGCCATAAAGTGAGATGAAGATCTGGAGAATAGAACAGAGAGATCCAACCTCCTTTGAAAAATAAGATTTCCAGATTAAGACCTAACACATAGCACAAAATCAACAAAGATATAACAGCAGAAACAGAAAACAAACATTTAAGGCAATAAATCAAAAAGGAACAGGGAATACATATTGTAGAAAACATAGGATTATCACACATGGCGGGAATCTAAGAGGTCATTCAGTTAGCATAAATTTCCCCTTTTACAGATGGGGAGAAAGAAGACTAAAAAGAATAAGCCCTGAGTCATACATCATATTAATAATAAAACCAAAACTGAGTCTCCTGCACTGATTATAAGGATTCCTGAATATCGTATTTTCCTGAAATAAATTAAAAATCTGGAAGTGACTCAAGAACATGATCTCATAAAATCTGCTGGTGGGACAAAGCACCACATAGGCATAAGTTCATCCTTCATGGCACTACCTCAATTACTTAAAGAAGTTATTTTATGAGGACCTTGGAAAGCTGTCTTTGAGACTCAGCTTGTCTGCCAGGACTACTGCTGAAGAGGGAACTGTCGTACCCTAAAGAACTTCCATTTTCCATGTTACACTGAGCAAGCAGAATCCTTCATGAATGGAATAGCTGAGAAATGAGGAAGGTCCGGCATGAACATTTCAAGAAGATGAGTCATGCCAACTAGTCAAGACTCTGACCTGGATAGAAAATGTTAACTGGGCTATTAACAATTTCTCACAGAGTCCTATATGCTGCTGTGCTACAGAATTCCTTGAATTTTTACCTAAGATTTGATATGAAAACATACTATCTTATACCCACAGTTATTAGTGGACCTGGTGGTATTCTTCAATGAAAAATTGGTTTGGACCCAGATATGGGCAGTGTCATGGAACTGACTGCATAACACATCAGAAGGCAGAGCTCAGCTGTAATTCCTGCCATTGGGATCTGTGAAATTCCCAGTTTCTCAAAATAAAACACCTACTTAAGCTAATTTGAGTGGATTTTTTTTCTTTTTCCCTTTTCTTTTCCTTTTTGCAGTCAAGCAGATTCCCAAGACAATGCCAAACTTCCCTTTGCCTTTCTAAGCAATACATTAAAATATGCGGGTGAATATAACCAAGATGTCTTAAGCAAGGAGGAAATTTTCAGTATAATTTTAGCCCAGCATTTTATTTATTTTTTTAATTTTAATTTTTTTAGTATAGTACTGACACAGAAGCAGAAACATAAATCAATGGAACAGAATAGAGAGCCCAGAAGTAAACCCATGCACTTATGGTCAATTAATCTGCGACAAAGGAGGCAAGAATATCCAATGGAAAATAAATTAAAGACCTAAACATAAGACCAGAAACCATAAAACTCTTAGAAGAAAACATAGGTAGGACAGTCTTTGATGTAAGTCATAGCAATATTTGTTTGGATCTGTCTCCTAAGGTAAATGAAACAAAAGCAAAAAATAAATAAATGGGACCTAATTAAACTTCAAAGCTTTTGCACAGCAGGGAGACTACTGACAAAACACAAAGACAACCTACTGAACGGGAGAAACATATTTGCAAATGATATGACTGATAGCCAGTAATTTAAAAAGCATAAAATAAAGTACTAACTATTTGTGCCGACAAGAGACGCCTGTTGGCCAGCTCCATTGCTTCAATGTTGAGGGTCTCATCTATTTCCTTGTTACATTCTAGACATCTCACTTTTTGATGTTCTGCTGTTTCTCCTTGGCTCAACTAAGTAAAACACAAATCAAAACCAAAAAACAAACAAACAAACAAACAAACAAACCCATAAATGTAAACATATTTTTTAGCATAAACTTTAAGCAATTCACATATCTGTTTGGTTTGAAAAATTATACAAAATCTTCTAGATACAGAAAAATGTTCAGATGAGTTTCCTCATCTTTGCACAGTCATCTAGAAGGTAAAATAATTGCCAGTTTTGGGGGGAAGGAGTTATAGCTTTACCTTTAATGGCATCATTAGTAGTGTGTAAAAGCTACTACATTTCTGATCACACTTGAAACAAGTGGTTCTGAAAGTGAGGTTCCCCAGCAGCATAGCCTCACCTGGGCATTGTTAGAAATGTACATTCTCAGGCCCCACCACAGACCTGCTGAATCAGAAACTCTGGGGGTTTCAGCAGCAAACTGTGTTTTTACAAACCTATTCCATGATTCTGCTACAGTTTAAGTGTGACGACCACTGCTTTAAACTAATCACTTAAGATAGAATACAAAGTGAACATGGCGTTTAGGAGATGGATATATGGATAACTCCATTTTACAGATGAAAAAAGCTGAGGCTTAGATAAAAGGAAGGCTTACAAAAGATCACAAAGCTACTTATTAAGTGTCAAAGCTAGGACACAAACCCAGATTTTCTGAATCCAAAGCCATTATTCTATCTGGAATGCTAGAATATCCGTCGTGTCTGCATTGTAAAGAGGAGAATGCAGCTTTTTAAAATTACCTGCCTTCTGAAACAGATCAAGTACCCAAGTGGTAGCCTTAACCCTGAGGCTTTGCATTAGAATTAGCTGGGTAAATGGATTAAAAATACACATTCCTGGGACCCTCCTCAGACCATCTTGCATCAGAATCTCCTGGGTAGACGTTGGGAAATCAATCTGTATTTTTAATAAGCTTTGCAGGTGATTCTGATGCAGCCAGGTTAGCAAAAGGCCACCATCAGATGTTGGGAGCTACTCTAAAGTCCATAGACTTGACTTGGTATTCTTCTTACCCAGAAATCCTGGCAGTATTCCTGTTAGGTAAAGGGCTTCATTCTGGGCCCCCATCTGGAGCTTCAGGTACCTTTTAAAGGATATAAAGTGGATTGTTGGAAGTCCTATTCCATAGCAACCAATTACATCTACACTCCTAGAAGTTGACCCCTCATGTTGTGTGATGCAGAAACATTGCAGTGAAAACTGGATGTGATATAGGAGATGGCAAACCAGAAGAAGCATTGAGCAGATCCCAGAATAACTTTTATTATTTCCCCCTATGGCAATCATGATCACTGATGAGTTATGTACTCAGAAATGAATAAGAAATCTGACCACGGAGATTCTACAGCATATCTCAGGAGCAGGAGGTGATGTTTCACTGCATCCTATCTTATGATATTGGTTTGGATCCTGTTTTATATTAAAAATGATATTAACTATAAGCTAGCAAGTACTTACATATGTAAGTGTATTATATACTATATAATAGCCTAAATAAATGCTGAATAAATGTTGTCCACCCTCAATCTAGTAAAAAAGAAAAAAAAAAAGAACTAGCCATTTTCCAAGGCTCAGTCTCTTCTTTTTCTTTAAAAGGCAGCTCCAATACACTGCTCCTTCTTTTGAAATTACAATATATATTTGCTATACACTCAAAAGGGGCATCACCTCTACTTTGTCCCACAGTGATCACAAAATTTCCTAAGAGCTGTGAATTAATATGTATAACATTTATACTTATGTAAGAGCAATCATATCCACTTTGAAGGAATAAACAAAAGCTGTTACTTGCTTACCGCATATGGGTTTTGAAGTATAATTGCTTCCTCCACTATGTTCCAATCTGCATTAGCAAGATCTCTGTCAAATTTGAGTGCCGAGGCTGCAGATTTGGTTAACTCTTGAAAATGTTGAAATGTATAATACAGTGATTTATATTTTGTTGATGTGACATCATGAAGACCTTTGATACAAGGAGCACACTTTATAAATAGTAAAAACACCATCATTTTGATATGAATTAATAAGCTTCCTTTAGTTCTTATTGTCACTAGTGTTTTTTTAAGTTAAAGACTCATATTGTTTGATAATGGGAATACTAACAATTTCAAACTTTTCTACTTTCATACTCTGTCTCACAAAAGCTGAGGTACATAATGATAATAGTAAAAGCTATTTGGGTAAACATGATTCTGGTTGTGTCTGTGACAGTATTTCTGGATTTAGATTGGTGGTCTGAGAAAAGGAGACTGCCCTCTACAATGTGGGCAGCCTTATCCAATCCACTGGAGGCCTAAGCAGAAGAATAAAAGGCTGAGCAAAAGAAAATTCACTCTCTCTGCCTGATGGTCTTTGAGCTGGGACACTGGTCCTCTTCTGCCTTCAGACTAGGACTGGAACACACCCTGTCGGCTTTCGCGGTTCTCAGGCCTTCGGATTGAAGATCTTGGGACTTCTTAGCTTCTATAATCACGTGAGCCAGTTCCTCATAATAAATCTCTTTCAATACATACATATATATATGTATAGAGATAAGGGAGGGAGAATATATGTACATTTACATATATTAGGATTTTTATATATGTATACATGTATAGCCATACCTCCTACAAAGTATCTCCTACACATCTATATGTATATGTACATATATCCTGTGTTTGTGTGTATATATATATTCTGTACACATAAACACAGAATATATGTACATATATACACATAGATGTGAAGGAGATACATATGTAGGAGGTATAGATACACATATATGTGTACACAGAGTATGTGTACACATATACATATATTTCCTACCTATATGTAAGATCATATATATGACAAGTATTTATGGTATATATTTATTTATCTCCGGATATATACAGTTGACTCTTGAACAACACAGGAGTCAGGGGTGCCAACCTTCCACGAAGTTGAAAATCTGTATATAAATTTACAGTTGGCTCTTCATATCAGTTGTTTTGCATCCTCAGAGTCAATAAAACTGGTATTTCTGCTTCTACTCTCTTCAAAGCCAATCAGCTATCCACAGAACTAGAGTTGTCATTTTTAAGACCTTATTCATAAAATTATACTAACTTGCTTAAAACCAACCAAGTAATTCCTTTTGCTCTTAGAATAAAATCTCAAAATTCAAGGGCTTTCCTTATCTAACTCCTTCCCTAACTCTCCCACCAGCCATCCTCCTCTGTCGGCATTGTTCTCGAAGGTTCCAACACCTCACTCTCTGTCCTTGAACACACTCGCTTTCTGACTTACTCAGGAATCTACTACCTGTTGTGTTTTCTATTTTAGTTTTATGTGCTTTGTTTACTTTGATGCACAAATGATTCACTGACATTACTTTATTTTGACTTGCTTACTGTCTGTTTCTCCTCTCTCCAATGTAAGCTCCATCAACTCAGAAATTTTGTCTGTCTGCATAATGCATCATTGTTAGAATAATGCCTGGCACTATAGGAGGCTCTTAATAAAAGTTTGTTAAATAATCAAATAAACTTATTGTATTATTTTACTTAAACTGGACTAATATAAATAAGTAATCTTTAAAAATAAACAAGCTTATTGGCCCAAACAATTCAAATGACATTCCATTCCATTCCAGTTTCCTCTTCAATCAGACACTGTTGATTTGTATTTTATTGGCTTCTTTCTTCATTATTAGCAATTCTTTAGCATATTTGGAATATTTTTCTCTTCACTCAGAGTAGGAATTAGCAGGGCTTACCTAGTTCACTAACTGCCATTGGCAAAATAAATCTATTGATAATCATGCCAATTAAGCATACTGACACTCCATGAAATAATATCTGGAATTGAAAAAAAATACAAATAAGTGTTCATGACAGTTTCATATAATGCACTCTGTATTTACCAATGTAACTTAAGCTAGGTTGTACTATGTCAGTAGGTGCTCAGGGCAGAAGAGAATTGGGTACCAGACATGACGAAAGTACTCCGGAGACTCACTTTCTTCCTGTGTGTACTGAATTCATGTTTTTAAAACCAAACCAAAAGTCAAGACACATAGTTTGACAAGTACTGATATACTTATAGAGACATTAGGGGAAAAAAACAAACTTGTTCTTAAATTCCATCACTACACTTCTTGGGCCCTGGAAATATACCTGTACTTTATCAATTCTTATCTGACATACACACCTCCATGTAGGTAGCCACACAGTTCTCTGCTCAATGTTACCAGCACATTTGTATCAAATAATTCTCCCCACCTAGGAAAAGAGAACTCAAAGGCCTTGATACATTTGCTCCACCTCATACTTTGTCTCTCTGGCATCCTCATTGCCAGCAGGGAGGAGCAACTGATGTCTTTTGTGCCCCTGGATTTTTTTTCTCCACTTTAATCTCAAGCAGGTCTCCATAGACAGGTTGAAAACCACTTTTCAATCTGATACTACATACTTCCATTAACTTATGGAATTCTAAGTTTCAGAACTTATGTTAGACTCCTAGCCAGTCCTCTGTTCTCTGGCCACAGATGGGGATTACGAATAGAGCATGGAATGACACCAGAGGCTCTCAAGTTTGCACACTAGGATCATTCAAGAAACTTTAAAACGTTGATGCCCAGGATGCTCCCACTGAATGCTCTGATTTAACTCTTCAAGGCTGCAGCCCAAGCAGTGGTAATTAGAAAAATCAAGCTATAATCTACACACATTGAAATGTACTTGTGTATCACTTGATGTTTTGACAGTGCATACACCCACATAACCCTCAGTTCTATCAAGATGTAGACTATTCTCATATCCCTCCAAATTTCTCCAGTGCTGCTTCCCAGTCAATCTCTCATGCAATATATTTATTTCTATAGATGAGAATTGCCAATTTTAAAACTTTCACATAAATTAAATATTAGGTTTCTCATTGTAGTTTTAATTTGCATTTCCCTAGAGTAATGATGTTGAGCATTTTAATGATGTAGTGCCTAGTGGTATATATCTTTCTTTTTTTTTTTGAAACATCTATTCAGCTTTTTTGCCTATTTAAAAAAACTGGGTTGTTTTTCTTTTATTATAAAATTGCAGGAATTTTGAAAAATATATTCTGGATAAAGTACATTGTCATATATATATTATAGACATTTCCTCCCAGTTTGTGACTTACCTTACCAATTTCTGTAAAGCTATCTTTTGATAAGCAAATATTTTTAATGCTAATGACCTCCAATTGTTTTGTTTAGTTTTGTTTTTGACCTCCAATTGTTGTTGTGGTTTTTTTGGTGGTGGTTGTTCTAAAAACTCTTTGTCAATTCCAAGTTCTCAAAGGTGTTCTCTTAGGTTTTCTTCCAGAAGTTTTAGAGGTTTTGATTTTATATTTAAGTCTATGATCCATCTGGAATCAGTTTTACATATGGTGTGAGGTAAAAACAGAAGTTTTCTTTTCTTTTTTTTCTAAATGAATGTCCACCATTTTCAGGATTGTTCAAAACCATTTGTCAAAATGATTATCCTTTCCCCTACTGAACTGCTTTGACAATCGTCAAAAATCAACTGATTGTATAATTGTGAGTCTTTTCTGGACTCTTTATTATATTCCATTTATCTATTTTATGCCAATATTATACCAACTTAATTACCAGATTTTTATAATAAGTCCTGATCTCAGATAAGATAAATCTTACAACTTTGTTCTTCTTTTTCAAAATTGTTACTGCTATTCTAGGTAATCTCTCTAAATGATTTTATTTACTAAAGTTTTATTTCAAAGCAGGTCAGCATGGCATCATTATCATCATCATCATCATCGCTCAGATATTTTCTACATTTCCTATATGCTAAACAATGTGTGCATCATTTTATGTATATTTTCAGCTTCTCATAATGACCCTTTGAGATAGTGTAGACAGTGAGATAGCCAGACAGACCTGGCTCTTATCAGTTTCTGAGGGCTGATCATTAAATTTTCAGGAAGTGTATGAGCGGACTGATGTTCTGTTGATGAAAGTGATTACGCAACAGAAACTGGCAAACACTACAAATTAGGGTCTCTCTCTCCAAGAAAGTTAAATATTTACTAGCAAGCCATTGGTATTATTATTAACTCTGTTTTGGAATGAGGAAATTATAAAATGATTTATAAGGTTTAATCCCTTGACTTTCACAATGAACCTATGTTTTGGAGTGTCATGGAGGCATTCAGGGATCCCTGAACTAGAATGGAGAAGAGGAAGGTTGTCGGTTGTTCCTTCTCATCCCAGTCTTCTCATCGTGGATAATTCACTCCCACAGCCCCAATGGGGTTGAGAAATCTCATGACAAAAGCATATTTTAGTACATAGAAACAATTTTTATAAAATATACAAATTAAAAAAAAAACAACTTCCTTTACTTGAGATTTTTCCCTCTCAGATCCAAGAGAAGATTCAGAGTAGGCAATCAGAAGGGCCATGTTTATGTTGGGAGTCCCTTTCATTTCACTCCAGACCATTATGAATGCCCAGCGCCAGCTGAAACCATGACCAAGTCGGGACAAAAGAGGGCTTATTAATAGAAAGACCAGAAGTCTAAAAGACAAAACAAATTTTAAAAAGTTATTTTTGTCATAGAGATTTCTTTCCATTTCATTCTACACTAGATCAATCTATCCCCCGTGGAACTGCCAACTCTTAGACAAACAAGCTATCTCTCACACACCGTCAGCATGGCACCTGAGGAAGGCAGAAGGGCGTTCCACACAGAGACAGACACATCAAGAGAATGGCATTATTGTTTTTCTTTCTTTCTTTCTGTCAGGTAAGTAGTAGGGTGATTCCACACTGCCCTTGAATGATGCTTCTTTATACTAGAGATGTTTTGTAAATATACTCTATCTTAGATCCCCAAAACAAATAAAAACAAATCTAATAAGTAAGAAGCGACAAAATAATGTCCTCTCTTTTTCTTTCTTTGTAGATTTTAATCTTACTGAATCTGTCTGGTATTGGTTAATTCGTTTCTATTTCTTTTTTCAGTCACATATCATTCTTATATTTTACAGTAATTGTTTATGATAATTTGGAACTAATTTCCATTTACTTGGCACTAGCTGACTTGATGCCGACTTCCAACTAATTTTCCTCGCTAGAGGCAGAATGTTAGCATTTTGGGTGATGGAGATGAAAGGATTGTTATGGCGGTTTTCCTCTTCTATGTTATGTCCTTTTCGCCCCTACATGGGCAGACTGCTTTCTGTCTCTTAATACTAGAAAGGGACTACAAAATTTATTAGGCAAAAAAGATATTTATATGGAGGACTTCCTTACAATATCTAAAAAGCTATTTCCAACTATAATTTACTAATAGGAAATTATTTGCTATATAATATTAAGAAAACAAAGCAAGATAAAATTTTTATTTGTGATAGGTATTTAACTTCATGAAACCTCATAGAATAAAAAAAAAAAAAACACTGGCTAAAATATCCGAAATGTTAATAATGGGTGCCTCTGGGAAATAATATTATGAAAGATTTTTTTTTCTTTTTTCTAATTTTCAAAAACTTTTCAAAGTGTTTGCATTGTTTGAAATGTAGTTAAAAATTAGGGGGGGAAAAAAACTAAGCACTAATTTGCAGATGATTCCTTGAAGCTTAAGAGTGAATTTTTCATTCTAAAGAAGGAAACATTTCTGTTATTTAAACAATATCTTCAGGCTTAGTTTATGTTCTATAAATAGAAAAATTCAAATGACATTCTTACCTGAAAACCATAAGTGTTAAGTAGACATTTAATGAATAATACACATCAGAAAATGATACATATAAATATGTATGTGCAGGAATTAGAAGTCCAACGAAAGTAAACACCATAAGAAAAGCAACAAATGATAGACAATTCCAGAACCTACATTTTCAGAAAAAAAGTAAATATAGTTAATTAATCTAACATTTAACATAAGGCTTATCTATGTGAGGCATTGTGCTAGGCATTATGAAGAAAATAAAGGTGAATAAGGCATTCATCAACACTCAAGGGGCTTATAATTTAACTAGGGAGAAAGGAGCACTAAGGCAATTAAACAAATAATTCTAAAGCAATTTTAACCAGTTTACACCGAATGTAAATTAGTATCTTTCTTTTTGGATTGACCTTGAAAGACATGTTAGGTTGTAGCCATGGTATTTGACTAAGCTCATTCGGGCACCATGGCTCACGTAGCTCGAAAATACTGGTTGTGAAGTCCTTGTATCATTAGGAAGAGCTACAATCAAACATTTTGAAAGGGAATTCTGAACTGCTGGTCTGATTTACATAGTGACAGAATTAAGCCTTTGCCTAAAATCTAGCTAGCACTTAGAGGATGTGAATGACTCTTTTATTCACAAGAATGTGCCCTTTGTAGATTCTCCTTTTGTGACTTCTGAGCCTGCGCTTGCTCAAGTACTCCAGAGCCCAGGAAGACCTCATTATTCCCAAAGCTCATGTTCTCATTAGCTGCAGGCAAAGCAGTTTAAAAAAGTACATTCAGACACCAATATTTGTCATTTTGGGGTGTTGAGACCATAGCTATTTAAAATTTACTTCTTGTTATCTTTCTATGTATTTCATGTCTTTAATGTCAACATTATATTTACAGCAAAATAATTGAAAAGATTAAAAAGGCACATGAATATCATTTTATGAGAGGCAAATAGCTTGGTTTTACCCTTATGCTGCCAGATTCTGTCCCTGAAACACAAATACCAAGGCATTATCAAAGAACATTTCAATATAAAACATTCTAGCCTAGGAAACATTAAATCAAATTTTTCAAAATATTTTTTCTATGACTCAACTTAGGCTAATTACTCTAGGCCGTGAACTATCATCCGTTTCTTGTATTTATATAACCATAGTTTTAATTCTGTTATTTTCTGGATTTAAGTATTGTATACAACATTAACTTGAAGGGAAACACACTAAGACATATTTTATGACAATTGTGTGATTCCTGCATTTTTTTAACCTTCTTTTGACCGTACTATCAAAAGCAGATCCAATTGTTGCATCACCTACATAGGCACCAAAAATAATATTCTTCAAAGAATTATGCCAACCTACCCATGTAATTGATAAAATCACTAGGAAATATTGAGCAGGATAATTTGGTCAGATGAGTGGTGACTATGACCCACTGGCATACTTTACTATTCATGTAACAATTACCTAATTAAACTTTTATCCTTAACACGCTGAAAAATGCCTCCAAATATCAAAAATCCCAGTCTTGTTCTTTAACACAAAATATAATCAAATCAATTAGGCAACAATGATTGAGGAGTTGTCAAGACCTTTCCTATTCGGTAGAAAGTAACGGGAGAAACCCGACAAAAGGAAACCAGATTCTCTAAGGAAGCAATGCCCATCAAACTGAGAGTGGGTATGAGCCGAACAACTAAGCTCCAAACCCATTTAATAGATGTGTACATGTACTAGTGTATGTGTGTGAAGTACTCTCAAATCCTATAAAATCCTGTATTTTTAAGCTTCTGACTTCTGAACTCACTTCGTCTTCCATAACGTCCTCCCAAACTCCAAAAAATCATTGATTAGGTTCAGGGCCTCTGTTAACACATATATTACCATTGTGTGATTGAGACCAAACTCCCATCGCATGTATTGGAACATTACAGAATGCATCCTTCTTCAAAACTGACACAGATTCCACTCACCCCTCAGCTGAGTGGGGCACAGCTCATACTTTTCTATTTTCTGTTATAACACTGACAATCTTATAAAATGCCTGAGCTCAATCTTTTAATTGATTTTGCATGTTCTCTTCAGTGTCCTTAAAACATTCTTTATTTAAAAATTTTGTACTTTTCACTATGGATTTTTTTGCATTCATTTCAATTTTAAAATATTATTTACCTTGGTTGCTGAGGCTTTTGGCACCCTCTTAAATTTTGTGCCTGAGATGAGGGCCTCATTTGCCTTATCTTAATCCTGGCCCTGTCTAAGGAATTACATTGAACTCTACTGAGTAATATGATCAAAGACTTAGGGAATTAGTGGTGAAATAAAGTCAACATGAACTCAAGGTGACGTTACAAATTTTCCCTAACATTAGAGGTTTAGAAGGCACAGGCAATAGAGTTTTTAGAGAGTGTTTTAGTTGTCTGGTTTTCAAGTCTGTATCTTACTTTGACCATGCGGATGTAGATACAGTTACTATTACAACAGTATAACTTCTAATGTGAGAAACAAAGTGAAAATATGCTAGCCACTCACTCGAGAAGGGGTGCTTCAACTCCTGATTTAAAACTTGTAGAATTTAAAAATAGGCCCATAATGGCAAGGGCAAATATTCCAGACATTCCAACTAGTTCACCTATTTTTTTAGAAGAAGTAAATATAAAGTATTAATTCAATATCAGCAGTAGCACAAATTTTACCAGAGACGAAAACATCAGATACCTGACAGTACAGTGACTTTATAGAGAGGCTCTCCCACTTGGTTTGAACTGGATAATACTGCATATCATTAGCACCACCCAATGTCTTTCGTACTTCTCAGATTCATACCCAACTATGTAGAAAAGTCTACACTGGACATCCTTGCACTGCTCTGGTTTCTGATCATTGGCAATAGTGTGAAACTCACAAAATTCTTCATGTTCTCTAGTGAGGTTAGGTCTAATCTTTTTTAAGACGGGATCCGGATGAATTAAATGGAAGTGAGATGATGAACTCTCTACAGATTAGAGAGCTTCATGTTTTCTTCTTGGGAGACAGTAGGAGATAGAAATGGTTTGATTTCGTGGCAGGACTAAGGGAGTGGAGCCAGCAGAAACCCAGTATGTATCGACCTCTCCAGTTTAATTTTGGCTTGGTGTATTTACTGTTAGGGACTGAAAAGTGTAAAAAAAAAACTGTGGAATATTCTCAAATATTCTTTTAACATTCATGAGCTAGAGGGGGAAAATAATTCTGACAGTAGCTTATGAAAGTCGTATATTATCACTGTGAAAAATTTAAATAACATGGTATAGTATAGAGACTACATAGTTTTTTGGGAAAAGGGAACACCATAATTCCACTGCCAAGACTTAAGGACAATTTTGATCGAAATTTCTATTGAGGAGAGGACTACATTCACCTAGAAAAAATACTTTGATAAGTTACTTGAGAATAGAGAATGCAACCCACAGGCAGCTTCAAGCATGAAAGGTTGCTTGCTGAATTTCTATATTGGAGGCAAGTGGTAAAAATCAAGCAGGAAACATGGAAAAGTGAGGAGCTGATAGATCTCATAGAACCGTGAGCTACACAATGTAACTTTCCCTGTGAGCTTCCCTTGTCTGCATCTTCAGTAAAGCTTATTAGGAACCAGAAACTTCTATATATTTAAGAGTGGGTAGCAGAGATTATAAGGAAGAATACCCCAGAAATTTTCAGAAAATTATGAGTAGATATCTTTGGGTTTTCATAGGCTATAGAATTGGAAGTTTAAGATAACTGGATCAAGATCTTTGAGAGGAGTGGAGTACCCAGTGAACACTCACAGCAGCACATATTCAACACACATACACTCAAAGTCACTCATAAAAAAACTCAAAGGGATTTTGCAGTACCACAGTTCTATAACAGTGTTCTTTTTTCTCTTAATGTTTACCAGAAATTGTTCAAGTTAATAAATCAACATTTTTTGTTTTACTACTAACGAATATTATGGATATGCCATTTTTATCATATTGCCGTGTTTATCAAATTGTCATACATGGATCAGTTCTGTGCCCCATCTGTTTCTTTGGTTTACTATGTATTCCTTTGTTACATCAGTTGTATTTTAATTACTGTAGGCTTATTAAACGTTCATACCTACCTAGTAGGAAAATTCTTCACTTTTAAAAAGTTGTCTCACATAGTCTCACAGTTTGTATTTCCAGATGAATTTTTAAAATTATTTTGTAAAATTTCATCCCCCCAAATTTCTGTCATTGAGTCAGATTGTGATAATCTTAGTTTGATGAAATTAATATCATTATCACATTACTGACTCTTTTCTTCTAGATAGGGAAAATTACAAGTTTTATATTCTTTATTTCAGTCCTGGCTAAGAATGGTACCTAAGCTAAAAATGAACACTTTAGTCAGTCATTTTTGAATCATGAAAGAAAAGGGAGCTGTGAACATGGGTGCTTTGAGGAGATCAGATCCTGGATTAGTCATTGTAACTTGTCAGGTAATGGTGAGATTTGGAAAATATTTATGATGACTATCTTGAAGATCTTAATAACATAAACATTAAGCCAGGTCAGAGTTACAGCTCTTTTACATTAGATTTATATTTACCTTTCATCTTGTTTTCATGAAATTCTGTCCTAGGCAGGTTTTTTTTTTTCCTGAAATGTTTATTGAGACATCTTGACTCTAAAATTTTTTAATTTCTTTCTTGGAGATAAGGATAAGGGATTAAGAGATACAAACTAGTATATATAAAATAAATAAGCGACAAAAATATTAAGTACAGCAAAAGAAAATATAGTTATTATTTTATAATAACTTTAAATGGATTATAATCTATAAAAATATTGAATCACTATGTTGTACACCTGAAACTAATTTAATATGGTAAATCAACTATACTTCAATTTAAAAAATTAAATAAAAAATTTTCTTCTTCAGCATAATGCTTAATCTTGACACTATGCTTACCTACTTAATTATGTTAGAGGAAATTATATTTGCTGGAATACATATTTTGTAGGTTTAGGTATACATAGTTAAAGTAGGACATAATGAATGTACTTATACTGACCAATCATTCTCTCACTCTCTGTTAATTCATTAACCTGATTCTGTAACCTCACTAGATTTTAATTGGCTTGAACCCACTGATTAGTGAGGAAACTTCGAGAATCTATGTTCTGCCTTTCCTTCCTCAGACATGAAAATAATGAACCTTTTTACACTAGCATTTCTAAAGAAAAATGCCTCAATTTATTTGAATTTTATACTTCTCCAAAACCTTTTGAAGTACTCTGTTTAGGTTCAAATTTTTGCTAAGTTTATTCCTTGATTTTTTTTGTAACTTTTTGCCAATACAAAGACAATCAATTTTTTCTAACTAGTTACTGCTGGTTAATAAGAATACTACTGATTTTTTGTGTATTTACCTTATATCAAACTATTAAAGAGCCTTGCTGTCTTAGTTTTTTAATTAATCTCTTGGGTTTTCTGTGTAATCTAAAATGTTGTGATTAATGTAACCATTTTCTCTTTCAAAATATACATAAACTTCTTTCTTTTTTTCTTATTATACTAGCTAGAACTTCCAGAACCATTTATAATCATGGATATGAGGCTAGACAACACTGCCTTATTCTTAAACATAATGGAAAGACATGGTGTAAGCTGAGAAGTAGGTATTATCACACATACCAAACTCAAATCATTTGTAGCGCTGTCTGAAAAGCTGGGCTGAATGTGATGCTGAGGCTGTACCAGGAAACTGGCATGTGGCTAATTATCAATGTCTGCTGTACTTCTTGAGAAGGGAGTTGTGGTAAATGGATCAGTAATGTTGATAGAGTTTCTAATATGTAGCCTTACTTGATCTGTAACTTCTATTTTTATTTCCTTTATGAGCAATGAATTACCAAGAAAAGCATTTGATTTCAGGAAATTAGAATGTTAATTTTTAAAGACCCTCCTTTTGTAGTTAGCATTTAATTGCATTGTGGTTGAACAATGTTTAGGATTTTATTGAAATGTTCTCCTAGTCTAGCTCATTTATTCCTATTAACATCTGCAAGTCTATGTAAAGGATAAGCATCCTGTTTTGGGAGATAAAACTCTTTATACAGCTTATAAACCAAGCTAAGTTTTTGTGTAAATCTTTTTAAAGCCATAATCTTCTTTTTCTCTGGTTGGTTATGAAATTATCTAGGAAAGGCATGCTAAAGTATCTCTTGTAGTTAAGGTTTTGTCAAGTTTCTCTCATTTTTTATACTGGAATTTACTTTATATATCTTGGTGTATTGTTTTCTGTTGTATAGATATTAATATTTTCATCTCCTTTGATACATTATTTTCAAAAATGTTCCTTCTAGATCAGTTGCGGGTTTTTTTTTTTGGCTTGGTAGGTATTTCCTACGTTTTTATTTTGAATTTTTCTATGTCATTTAGTTTTAGGCATAGCCCCCTCACTTACAGAAAAAAAAGATGAAGTACAGAATTGAAAAGCTGAGACTTATATGATTGACGTCATCACCAAAAACAGTACTCATCCACAGTTGAATCAGTTTTGAGCTTAGAATTCCAAACAAGAAACTTGCTAGAAAATATGACCAAATTTTAGTCATGATGCTATAGTCTGCAAGAAAAGAAAGTAAATAGAAAACAATTACTAGAACTTACTTGTTCTTAATTTTAAGTGATAATCTGGGTCAAACTTTTCTTTTTCATTATCTTTAAAAATAGCTCATAGCCTTTGGAATAGATGTAGGGTATTTTCTTATTCCTAAACTGAGAGAGTTTCTTTTCAAATGTTAGAAGCCACACTTAAGCTTGTAAAATTTGCTCAGTTTAGTTTAAGAGCCTTTTTCCAGTCCCCACTAAGGCATATGTATTTATTCAGTGCCAAACTGTATAATGCATTTTAGAAAAACAGTAATGAACAAGAAGTAGAAAGTCTCTAAACTCGTGGAATTCATATTCTAGGTCTAACATGATACACATAAGGGATACAGAAAAAGGAATGCCTCTGGGTCCTAGTTGAGTGAATCTCCTGTACCACCTTGACCTGCCAAGCCAACCTGACTGGTTCCTTAATGTTGGTCGGTTCACTGTTCCCAGTTTTTCCCGAGAAGCCATTCTGCAGTGTATATTCTGTATAGAAATTTTTTTATTTCTCTGATTACTTCCTTAGGACCCAGAAGTGGAATCACTACACTAAAGGATAGTTGATCCTTTACTGACATGGCTATATTTTGCCAAATTGCTTTCTACAGTCATTATGATGCCCTTCCCAGAAAACCAGGAAGCCTGAGGCCTCGACAGCCTCGATGGCTGGAACCAAGCATGCCATGGGTGAGAAAGGCCTTCCCACCTTCACAGGGTGCGCAACAGTGGAGCAAAGTTTGAATCATGGGTGAGAGTGGGTCCTGAGGGCAGGAAAACCTGAAGGGTCAACCCCAACAGAATATGTGGAGGGCAAGAACAAAACCAAACTAAAGAATGGCCACCAAAAAAGAGTAGCAGCAGCCACATCAAAAAATCAGGCTAAATTTGGGGAAGGAAATCCTAGAACTGTAGTAATATGAAGGAGAAAGAATCCCTTTATGAACCCTTATTCATAAATGTCCACTGCTGAGGAGGGCACTGCTAAGAATGCTGACAAGATTTAGATTCCTTCATACCTAGTCTCATTCCCATGGCTGAAAGAGAGCCATTATATCCAGATATGCCAAGTAGAAAGATTTATCCTCTGTAGGGATCAGTGTGAACTTGGGAGGAGAGTTTCATAAATGACCCTCTAGGTCACATCCATTCTAGGTATGGAGTTGGCCTTGGTAACAATTTTGAAAGTCCAGCACCTCCTTTAAGGTGGAGGCTGACTCTGGTGTTGGATGATGCAGGAAACTGCAGTTAAAAGGCCCAGTTTAAAAGTTGCTTTCTCTTTTAAGAAGGAAAAATAGCTCTCAATGAGTAAAATGTTTGCCAAATGGATTTATTAGGCCGGGAAAAGCCTCAAAGCAAATCCGTTATTTCTTCCAGTGTTCTTAAACTTCTAACATACAAGTAGGAAAAGGCAGGAACTTTGAGTACAATAACTCTTCTTGTTTTTCCCTGTTATGAAATATGTGCTAACTTCAAAGATAGAGCAACACTTTAAATAATTACATAAGTTAGAAGAATAATAATTAGTATGAAAATTATTTCTTAATTGTGTCAGTTGGTATAAGTGAAATACCAGTAAAACTTATCAAGCAGCTTTCTTAAGAGAAATTCTTCTATTAAAAATTCAGAGAAAGTCCTAATGGCAAAGGAAAAAAGTTTGTAACTGAGCAGGACCCTATGGGGCATGCCCAGGACAAGCCCCTCCCTCATATCTTCTGCTGTAGCTCCTCTCTGAAGTATCTAGATAATAGTGTCTGATGCACACTTCTTGAGTTGTTTTACAGATGCTAAAACCACTACCAAATAGAAGAAATTAACTACTTGATGATCATGAGCCCCAGACCTACTGATGCCTAAGGACTGATAATGTTAACTGCCCTGTTACCTCACTATTAACCAATCAGAGAACTGTGAACTAGCTGATCACATACCCTGTGACCCTCCCCCACCACATGTGGCCTTTATAAATGCTTTGCTAAAACCCTACGAGGAATCTGGGGGTCCTAGAGCATGAGCCACCCGACCTTCTTGTATTGGCATCTTTACAATAAATACTGCATTTTTCTTCAACACAACCCAGTGTCCGTATATTGGCTTCACTCCGGGCGGGTGAGCAGACCCATTTGATTCAGTAACAAGTTCGTTGTTCTCGTCCTCCTACAGCAGAACTTTTATTATTATAGCTGTTACTATGATTATTTTAAGAGTGCTTACTTAACAGTTTTTACTCCTCCGAAACTTAAAAAACCAAAATTCTGTTCTTTTGATTACTGTCAAAATTATGAGGCAAGCTCTACAAAAGCAAGGACTGTTATGTTCATGGCTGAATCACCAGGGCCTAGAATATGTGCTATCATATAGTCTATCTCAACAAATAGTTTTTGGATTAATGAATGAATGAACTCCCATATCAGTATCTTTTTTTTCTTCCAGTGAATATCAAGAAAGTTCTCATGATTAGATTATAGATGTCATCTCTGATAAAGTTCCCTGAAAGTCTGTGGTCAGTATTTACTTAAAAGGGACCTGGTAGAACACTAGAGTGGGTACAGAGGTGGGGCATGGATCCTCTGACCAGCGTGTATGCCTGCACTTCTTTGCTTTTTTATTTCCCCCAGGGATTGTTCTTGAGCTTCTAAGACACTTCTGAATATAAACATTTCTTTTTTTGCTCACCTTAGTCATCTTCAGGAAGGCCTTATCTACACCAAGTTTTATAGTAAAAAATTGTCTGAGTGCTGTATTGTGCCACCTCCTTTTGTACCCTGGATTTTGGAAAAGGCTGCATTAATGGAGTTGGTTTGGTTTTCTCACTCACCACTTTGATGGCATACACTAAGCATTTAAAGAGGATGTACCTACCTTCCTGCACTAAATTTGGGCTCTAGGATCACCACAGATGATCCAAGCTGCCATGGTCTGGGTCAACTAGTTGGATACAGAACAAGGCTTATGCCCAAGTAGGGTAACTGACCACCATCTGGACCAGCTCCCTTGATTCTTTCTGGGAAAGAATAGTCTTCAATTCTGAGTTTTAGGCATTGATTATGATCATGTAAGGCATGGGTGAGTCAGAATAGAGGTAAACAGGGTCCCTGGCTGCCCAACAGCTAAGTGCTCTCCAGGGACGGGGAAAACAGTCGTAGCTAAAACTTCCTCTCCTGAGTGGTTGGGAAGGTAACTTGGGATGTGCTTGATCGCTGTAGACAGGTGGTAGTAGAAGGATCCCACTTCAGTATAAGGGATTATTTGGCACCATGCAGCTTCTTGATACACTAGAATGTAGTCTATAAGCACCTCCTAAACACTCTTTTTTCAGTTGGATAGGAAGGTGGAATGATAACACAGAAGACATCCAGTGAGTGGAATAGTATACATCGGCAATTTTCTCAGGAAGATTATAATCATTGCTTTCCCAAAATGAGTATAGATGGCAACACAGTAAAAAAGGCATATAACTTCTTAGTATTCAAACAAAAATATATGACCTCGTGGACACCCTTAAAAGGTCCTGTAGACCCTCTCCCACATCAACCCAGAGACTGTACTCTGAGAATCATAGAAAGTACGGGGTTTTGATCAGGAAGGGGCATGAAAGATACCCCTGGAGAAGCTGATAACACTATTTCTTGTCTTGAGTGAAAATTACCCATCTGTGTACTTTATAATCACTCATTATAGTGTGCATATGTAATTTATTTTATACACACATATACATATGATAAAGGAAAAGACATACTATGGTTCAGGGCTATCCGAATGTGGCAAATGAGCTCATGTGCACCTTGCAATCTTTCTGCTTACAAGCACTGCTCTCAGGCCCTGTAGGTGGCCCTATAACTCACACTTCCTCCCTGGGTTGACAGCTTTCTGTGTTGCCTGCAAGGAGATTGTCCCAGGGTGAAGGGGAAGGAAGCCACCTCCTCTCACCACCAGTGGATGCACTCCCCAGCTTATCTTCTGAGTTCATCTTCAACACATAAAAATCTCACTATCTCTCATTGTTGTTGCCAAGCATTCTGATTCAGCCCAGGCCTGTGGAATGCTACTTCTATACGTGTCCTCAGGAAAAGTCCCAGCTCAGCCTCGCAACAAAACAACAGCCAATATTAAATAAGGGGTATGTAAAGGGTAAATCACTATACTAATACTCACAATTATGTTTGTACAAGCATAGCTTACGGTAAGGTATTATGAAATCCATGTCAGCTTTCAGAAAATATAGGATTCTAATTTTAAGAAGTTAAGAAAAAAATCAGTCCTTACTTAAGGAATAGTTTGTCTTTCTTTGCATGCTGAAGTTAATATCCAAAATGCTATCAAACAAAATTAAAGACATTATAGCGGTCATCAGACTTTCTCCATTAATTAAGTTGACAAGGCTTCTAGAAAGACCTATGGAAGGGAAAATATTTTTTTTAAGGTGGGAAAAACATCAATAATAAAGAATAAAATTTTATCAGCAAGTAGAAGGATGTTGTTAGCTACAGATTTGTATCGCATATTTTTCCTACATACTTAAATAAGTTTCGTCATGTTTGAAAACTCCCTTCAAGGAAAAACTTCTTTATAGATCAACTATAAGTGAAGTCCAGACCATCATAATTAGGTACCAAATTAACTGTAGTTGATTAAGTGAGATAATCAACCAGAGCTCTCATGCCTTCTTTCAAAGCACAGATGAAAACATAAAATTTATTATTTTCTTTTGTTCTGAGACTTAGCCTCTGTAAATACACAGACTGTGAATTTAAGACAAGACAAAAAGCAGTGATTAAGGGATAAAGTCAATTATAAACTAAGGCATTATACCACAATACTTAAGTCAAATATTAAGGCAATTGTCCAGATAATCTCACTATAGTTTGAAATTGTCTGGTTTTCCCATGTATCCCTTTCGGTGGTTTTAGAAATCAAGCTCCATGAATGGTCGGCACCTTTATATTACCTACCTTCATCCTAATTCTCCTCCATTTATGATGATATTCTACGTTTAGATATCCATCAGTTATCATTTTTCTTTGCTATTCAGTGTGTCTGTAGGGCAAAACTATAATTTTTAGCATCTTTAATGATTTTCAGAATGTCCACAGGAAGGAAATATAATTAAGGAAATGATAAGAGCCCTTTTTGTGAACCAACAATCTGTGGTCACAATCCAATACAGTAAGCATGCAGTTGGAAGAGAATAAAAGCCAAGGCAGTCTGTTTCTGTGAAAGTTCATTTGCCTTGATGGTCCAGGTCTTCACCTTGCCCTGCATCCATGCCCTCTGCTGTAAGACTCTGCAGTTTCTCTCACCCAAGAGATCTGTTTTGTTCTGAGACTTAATGCAAACAGAGGCTTGAGAAAGATTTCTGCTTCCTCTCTCTTGGATCCCTGCCACTATCATGGCAGCAGTCCCGGGTTACCCTTATGGAGGAATGTGAGAAATACGTGGAAGAACAGTGGGTCATCCAGTTGAGGCCATCCTAGATCACCTAGCCCCCAGATGACCCTCCAGCTGACTGCGGATTCCTTAGTGAGCCTAGCCAAGATCAGCAGAGGCCAGTCTATATCATCAGAACTGCCAGACTCATCCGAAATAATGAATAATTGTGGTTTTAAGCCACTGTTTTAGAGTGACTTTTATTCAAAAACCACCCCCAAACCAACTGATACTGTTGTATAACTATTCCATTTTAGAAAATGGAACTATAACAAAATGAAAATAGCTCTTTTCTCTTTGTGTGCATGTGTGTGCACACACGCATGTATGGGCCATATTAAAATTCTACTTTAAAACACATGTTCTAGTCCTCATTATTAAAAAGAAACTGAGGGAACACAGGTTATTCTTTTTTTGAATGAAGCTCTTGGCTTTTGTTCTGGGTTATGTTGACTTGGTATTTTACTTTTAAATACAGGTTTCTTTCTCCTAAAACAGTACACACTGAAAACACTGCCCCTAGTGATTTGCTTTTGACTTTTTAGGCTTTTGGTCTTAATGGTGACAATGACTCCAAAGGTTTTTTTTTGTTTGTTTGTTTGTTTTTAACAAATGGCATTATCCTAAGGACAGTGTTTTCAACAGAAAAGAGGTGCTGGGCAATAGAAATGTAACCACAATGTACATGCAATATTGTAATGTCCCCAGAACTGTTCTGTTGGCTCAAGGTAGAAGCATGTATAAAGTCAAATATTCCAAATAATCCCCTTCCTTATTCCACAATTGAATGTAAGACTTTATACACACACACACACACACACACATATTTTTTTTTAGGAAGCCCATTACTGGCATTTCATTCTGTTCTAAACATCACCACCTGAATCTCTATGCTCAATCCCTAATGCCACAGCACCCCACTTCACATAGAGAAAAGCTATGAACAAAAGATATTAAAGCTAGACAATTTAAATATTGACAAAATTTGAAATAGAATAAAAGATAAAAATATACCTACCAAGGTCTCTTATAGCAGCTGCAGTCAGCATGGGATCTGAACTCATAAGGATAGCTGAAAATAATAACCATTGGGTGGTTTTCAAAAGTAATTTATTCACAGATGCCAGATACCAAAGAATTAAGATATAATTAATAAAAAATCCAGGAATTGTAATTAAAAGTATCTGCAAAGAAATTTTACGGATTAAAAAAATCAGAATGCATTTGCATTTCATTATTAAAAGCAGATAATCAGGATATTGGAGATATAGAATCACATTCAATCAATCCATCAAAGGGAAATCTGATCTGAAGTTATCTTATTTAACAATTATGTACTTGCAACTCTGGAAATATGGAACAAATGTTGCAGTGAGATTCCTAGGACCCCAAAAATACCAGTTATAGGAAATACCATATTATAATTTAAAAGGAACTTTTAATTTTCTTGATAAGGCCATTGAATATAGACGTGCATGTGTGAAGATATGTACATACATCCCATATATATACATATATATACACATACATATATACACATATTTATGCATAAGAACTGAGACATAGCCTATTAACATAGAAAATAGAACACAAGTTTAGGATGAAGTTATAAAAGAGGAAAAAAAAGAGAAAACAAAATAATAGAAGGAATGAAAGGAAATGGCAAAAGACCAAAGAAAAGATGGGAAGGGAAATTCTATTATTCTAGGACTGGCTTTCTACCTTCTCACCATTGCCTTCTATTTTTTCTTACTTTACCTGTGGTGACTCTTCAGCAAGATTTTATTACCAAGTGGACTTGCGGAAATGTGATGATTATGCCTCAAAGTACCTGTGAGAATTCAGAACTATGCCATATTTGCTGTAGCATAGTTTACAATAGCCAAAACATGGAAGCAACCTAAATGTTCATCAATAGGTGAATGGATAATGAAGATATGAGATGTACACACACACACACACACACACAGGAATATTACTCAACCATAAAAAAGAATGAATATTGCCACTTGCACTAACATGGATGGACCTCTTAGATGGTATTATGCTAAGTGAACAAATATAAGAAAAAACAAACAGATTTACAGATACAGAGAACAAACAGGCAACTACCTGGAGAAGGGGTTGAGAGGGGGAAAGAAATAGGTGAGGGAGATTACAAACTTCCAGCTGCAAAATAAGTGGATATGAAATGTCCAGTGTGGAGTACATAGTCAATATCTTTGTACAGTGACATGCTTTAACTAGACTTATCGTGATGATCATTTTGAAATGTATAGAATATTGAATCACTATGTTGTATAACAGGAAGTAACATATAGTGATGTAGGTCATTTATAATTCAAAAACAAACAAACAAGCAAACAAACTCATAGAAAATGAGATCAGATTTGTGGTTACCAGAGGCAGGCCATGGGGGAGTGCGAAAAGAGGAACTGGATGAAGGCAGTCAAAGGTACTAACTTCAGTTATAAGATAAAGAAGTAGTAGGGAGGTAATGTAAAACAACATGACCAATATAATCAACATTGCTGTATGCTACATATTAAAGTTGTTAAGAAGTAAATCCTATGAATTCTCATTACAAGGAAAAATATTTTTCTATTTCTTTAATTTTATATCTGTATAAATTGATGGACTTCACTAAACTTATTGTGATAATCATTTCATGATGTATATAAGTCAAATCATTATGCTGTACACCTTAAACTTATATCGTGCTCTATGTCAATTACATCTCAATAAAGCTCGAAGAAGAAAAATGATTCTATAAAAATTGAATGTTAATTTAGAAAGATAACATGAATCTGAACACTCACCTCACATCATATAAAAAATTAATTCAAAATGAATCATACACCTAAATGTCAAATCTGAAACTATTAAACTACTAGGAGAAAATATAGGAGGAAATCCTAGTGACCTTGGATAAGGCAAATAATTTTTAATAGGACATAAGAACACAAATTCTAAAAGAAAAATTGATGAGTTGAACTTCATCAAAAGTAAAAATTTGGGGAGGAAAAAATCTACAGTGGTACCAAAGCTAAGACTTGCTGTTTTTGATTGTGAATCTAAGTCATACATGGAAGACAATGAAACTGTTATGTAAATATTACAGAACCTGCTAAAAACAACATGTAGTGGATTTTTTTAAAATCAATGTAATTGAATAAAATTTATCTTGCTTACAAATGCCTTTTGAAAATAATGCCTGTAATAATCACTGTGCACATTTTTTCACCTGACATCTATTTGAGACTTTAATAATAAGGCTATAGAAATGATCTCCAACTTTTCTCTGAGGATTAATATTCAAAAGGACATATACTATATATAAATGACAATTAATGAGAAAGTGTTTTCACTCATACCCTATGACCTTGTAAATGACTATCTGTGCCAAAAATCACATCAATATTTGGATTGAATTTCTAAAGTAAATCAAATGAAATTGGATCATTAAAAAAAACGGAAAGAAATTGGATCAGGGGTTGCCTCTCTGAGGCACTGGTGAAGGATTGAGTTTAAAGAAGTCTAAGGGGATATTCTAGGGTGGTAGAAATTTTTATATCTTGATTGTGTGGCTATGCAGATATACATATTTGTCAAAACTCATCAAATTGTGCACTCAAAATGTATGCATACTACTGCATGTAAATTGTACCTCAATAAAATTGAATTTTAAAATATAAAATAAAACTCAACATTGATAACATGTGGTAGTTCTTGAGTGAATAATATTTTTGAAAAAGAGTACTTCTTACCTGCCAAAATAACTTGTGGAGCATGTAAACATCCATGTCAAATGCAACATTAAAGATAATTATTGGTGTAAATAAACTAAAAAATAAATGTGGATCTATCCATTGTATGGCGTCTGCAAATTGTTGGACCTAATAATATAAAAACATGTCATTTTCTCATTTATCCATTGGTCTCTTGGCATAGAATACATGCCAGGCACTCCTATCTCTAGCAAAAGATAGAAAGATCCATCACAACATGATAAACACTAAAGTCTTAACACTGTTGGATATTCACAATTTTTCATCAGATCATTACCAACTACAAGAAAAGGTTAGTGTAATCTCTATGCCTATTTTATCTTCTTAAAGAACAGATATAGGAAGCACATTGACATAAGTACTAAAGAATATGTAGGAGATTTTCAGGCGTACAAGATAAAGAGATTTCAGATAGATGAAAGAGATTTCATGATGATGTACAAAGTCTGCAAAGGAGTAAACAATCATATCAAATTTCCAAAACTGCGTAATTAGTCATGGCTTACACAGAAGCCGTGTATGGGAGAATAGCAGGGATAGAGACTAGGAAGGTAATGCAGTTCATGAAATAACAAATTAATGGTGTTTTAGTTGATATTTGTAAATCCTATTATGGGCATCCATTCAACAGTCATTCATTAAGGAAACACTGAGTACCTACTGTGTTGGGTGATTATCTTTGAATTTGGGAGATGATTCTTCATGGGTCTCTTGTGTTTCTCCATAATTTACAGATGGAGGCAGTGATTGCTTTCTTCCGGGAATATTTTCTTTCAAGAATATCTAACAGCTTTGGAAGAGAGAGCAAGTGTCCCTCCAGAGGAAAGGGCAGGTTTACTATACTCGCCAGTGTAATAATGATAATCTCTCTCCGGAGCAAGGGGGCAGAAAAGCTTACTGCCCATCATAAAATATTGAAGTTCTCTAATCTCAGATTTCTCCTCCTGTAATGCAACCTATTGAAGTGTGCAGGTTTCACTTCTTTGCTTCTCCTTGTGGGGCTCATGGAACAGGGACAAGAAAATGCTGATACTCTGGCTTCTGCTATTGCTGTGAGTAACAAATCCTCTCTCTCTAGCCCAGGAGTCCCATGCCTTTTGCCAGGACCATGAAACTGTGGCAAGCCAACTGAATAGCTTGAAAGTAGAGTAAAGTCTTAGACTCTTCACAGGTCTTGACACATAGTCTTTTCCTTTAATGGGTTATTGACACATAAGCTCATAGAAGTACTTAAAATTGCACTTACGTCAAAAATCATATGGTTATGAAACCTGTTCATGACAAATGAAGTAGTAATCTGCTTCTGGTTCTCACATAGATACGTGATTTCCACTATGTTTTTTTAACATCACTGGTTAAATTTGTTTGGGAAAGTCAATCATTTTCACACACATTCTCATTTACGCACTGATTTACTAGAGCAGGTGTTGGCAAACTACACCCTCTGGGCCAAATCTGGCTCAAAGCCTGTTTTTATAAATAAAGTATTATTGGAACACAGCCATGCCCATTTACTTACGTATTGTCTGTGGCTGCTTTTGAGCTACAATGGCAGAGTTGAGTAGTTGTGAAAGAGATCATACGACCTGCATAACCTAAAATGTTTACTATGTGATCTTTTACAGAAAAAATTTGCTGCCAATACCTGGGCTAGGGAACTATTTAATGTGTCAATAAATTGGGCGTTCAGGATTTGCAGGTACTAACTACTATATATAAAATAGATAAACAACTAGTTCATACAGGACAGTACAGGGAACTATATCCAATATCTTGTAGTAACCTATGATGAAGAAGAGTATGACAACGAACTTATGTATGTATATGTATGGCTGAACTATTATGCTGTACACCAGAAACTGACACATCATAAACTGACTATACTTCAATAAAAGATTAAAATTAAAAAAAATAATGTATTCTGTATCCCTTGTAGTAAGCGTATTCTCTCTCCTCTACCAGACTCCAGCTGTTTCTGGTGATTTCATAATACTGTAGCTTGAGCCAGGTACACTTAGCGACTGGTCTCTATTCTATGAGGCTTCTATGAAACATTCCTGAGGCATTGGTTCAATGTCAGAATTCTCTTACTACTAGAGTCTTGTACCAGTAACTCGAAGTCTCTCTGGGCTCTTAACGTCTTAACCAGTTTCTTGTCTGAGCATTTGAATGATGCTGAACTACTCAGCTACTCACACTCTGAGTAGCTGGAAGTGTACTCGTTCTGAATTGCTTACCTAGTCTCAGACCTAGGCTCTGTTTAGACTATGTTTAGCTGGATTTCAGCTCTTTCACTCCTGGTTCCTTTTTCTACCCAGCTGATCGGATGCTACCCACATCACAAATATCTTTCAACTGGCAGAGCAGTGAAGAGATAGGTTTACAAATTTTCTTAAGCCATCTTTGTATTTACGTGAATTTTAGATACACTCAGATATACAAAATACTCATATTCATTGTACACACCTGGTCAGATGTAAAACTTAACATTTCAAAACTGCATCCAATTAAAAATAATATCACAGGGAGAGGAACTGGAAAGTCTTTCAAGTGTAGGTTCAAAAATGCTGCAAAAAAACTATGTCTTTACTGAAAGGCAATGAAATACCACATTTACAGAACTTTAATTTGATATGATTCCTTAATTTCAAGGACAATGAAATACTGTTCCACCACTTTCTTGCTATACTCCTGTAACTGAAACCCTTCCTCACACTTTGGCATACAGAATCAGTGTAATTGGTAATCTGCTAAATTCATGCTTTACCTCTTCTATGAGGTATATCATTTCCTTAGAATCTTCAGTAAATATTGTTAGCAATCACTGGCTGTTGGGTTGTACTAAAATATTTGTATCAATTTTTGTACATGTCATAAGTTAGATATTTGCTTCGTTAACGAATCTTTAGCAACCCTGCAATAAGGGGTTAATAATAAATAACTTAAATGAAATATTCTGGCTGATTCCCAAGATAACAATGGGGAATTAGTAAAATAATTTAACAATGAAAAAAAAATTGGCTACCTATTACTAGTTACCTACTACCTATTAAAGCCCAAAATGAATATTTAACTTTGCTTAACTTCCTTCATTACTTGTTTTCAAAGTGCAATAGCAGTATTACAGTGTTTCCTTCAGTTTAATGTTTTCTGATTTTCTTGGTAATACATTTCCTATTCAGGTCAAAGAAGGCAAAAAAGGTGCTCTCTCTTGATTTCTACAGTGTTCTTTTCTTCTCATAAAAGCTGAGTATAATTTAGCACTTGGACAAAACCTAAGGGATATCCTATCACGTGGTTAAAAAGTAATTGAATCATTCAGAAGATCTGTCACTTTGAAAATTCTTTGTCCAGGGGAAGAAAGCTGTGGGACAGCTAACTTTAAAATATGAACGAAACAACAGTTTATGATAATGCAGGTAACAATAAAATCCCTAAACCCTTGAATTTCTGCTTATGTGCTTCAGTTCTCCACATCACTTAAATCTAACCATGACCTAGCTGGTAAGAAGGTATGAATACTTTGAACTCAATAGAAGTGCAGAATATGGATTAGATCCTACATGTCTCTTCTCGGAGCAGATTACTGTTGGATTCATTTGATTAAAAATCTGAGGATAGAGGTATGAGTTTAAAAACAAAAATCTAATTTCCTACTCTTGCTACTTTCCTTAATTCTTTACAATGATGTTTACAAAATACGTCCATAGAATAAACTTAAATAAAAAGAATTATACTTACCTCCAACTGTACAGATCAAAGACAATACTAGAATGATTTCAGGAAGATCTTCAGAACTTTTCATGAATACAGTCCAGAAAAATTTCAGCCATCCACTAGTAAATCTTTTCTCAAGAAAATCCAAATCAGAACCGCTGGAATTCATCCTGTTGTTTGTCACAGGCTTTCTGAATTCAACTCTTAGGACTCTTGGCAAAACTCACCTAGGACCAAAACGTAGGATTTGCCTTCTTGATGGCCTTCTAAAGCTTTCCTTCGAAAGACAAATGAAAAGCTCATATTTCTCCTTAATTATTTCTAGTGATTTCTTAGAGTCTGTGAAAATTAGGGATACTTTCCTCTTCTACGATGCTTTTGATTTAAATGAGATAGAAAAGGTACAACCCCAAGGGACAGAGGCTAGTCAGCGTCATCCCATGTTCTTAATGATACCAAGCACTACTCAGCTATTATTCACTCTGTATCTATCCAACTGAAAAGAGGATTTTTCATGTAACCAGTCACCGGGACCACAAGCTGAAACAGGTTACTTAGTTAGCTCTGGGAATAGACAACTGAGGGATTTGCCCTCAGCCTATCTGAACCTCGGGAAGCATGTTCTGGCAGCTACTTCAAAGTCAGAAGCAGTGGGGGTTTGGGTGATGGAGTGGAGGATATTCTGATCTCTTATGTTGTTCTATTCAGACAGAAATTAATAGACCATAATGATATTCAGTCATAACTTTCTTTTATCTCATTTGAGACCTTGATGGGCCAGGTTTTTTCCAACTTTTATATATTTTTATAGCAACCAAGTTCAATAGAATCTCACTGCCTGACTGTGAATATGTGACAAATACTCAGATTGGCTTCTTTAGTCTCTACTCCAGAGTTTCCTAACAAACCTTTTCCCCCAAGAAATGTTAAGCCAGCATATAAATGCTAATATTACTCTATTTTGATACTTTAAAAGAGTTGGGTAAAGAAGTAGTGGTTTAGAATAAACAGAATTTCAATGTTATTAAAACTCTTTTCCAGCTTAAATTGACTTTTAACAGTTGTGGATAACTTTTTGAGTCCATGTCTCATTAAAGAAAAAAAAATACTGGTTTGTCTTAAAATTGCTACATAGATTTCTGACATTAATTTATAAGTAAATTAGATAATGCCTCAATTCTCTTTCTATGTGGAGTTAATGATTGTCCTCTCAAAAATGGCATGTGGATTTGTCCTCAATGTCAGTCAGCCCTGAGAAATTCTCTTTCTCTTGGAGGGAAAATGGATTCACCTTGTCCCTGAAAGTGGGAAGTCTTTCTTCCCTTTAATCACTACATTTTATAGGAACTGTGTGACAAAATTATCCTGAAAGGGGTACTGTGGGCTCTCAGTAATTATCACAAGCTGCAAAGCTCTTAATGGTTTATGACAGTGAACTGGAGTTGGATTGCCTGCTCAGAAAACTCTCCCAGCACACGACGCAGCGGCCGTCTGACTCACAGACCCTGAAGATGGGCGGTCTGTCGTCCTCCCAATGACCTTCACTCAGGACGAGCCCTTCCTCCCTCGGGCTCCGCTCCACACACCTGAGGAGATGCACCGCGGCATCACTGTGCTTCCAGTACTGCCTAAGGCAAAAGGAACAAACGCAAGGCAGGTGAGCAGTCTGGAAAGTTGACACCGGAAGTGTAATGACGGAGGGCAGGGCTTGGGGGCAGAAATTCAAACTGAGTGGCTGGTTGATCTTCGCGAAAGTCCGCTGCCTTAGGAAAGGTGGAAACTACAAGAGGGAATGTCTGGCTGAATCTGTAGCTGGAACACCGTGGGAGCATTTCCTTCTTTCTGAGGAGAGGCTGAGGAAGAAAGTACCAGAGGGGAAGGGCAACTTCCTGAAGGGGAAGCCAGGGGAGGACTCACCATCAGCGCCTCAGGAGGAGCATCATATGGTATGTAAGTGACAAGTGGAGGCTAGCTAATCCGTTCACCCGGAACTGCCACAACCAACTGCAGCCTCACTGACAGTTAGTTGCTCTAAGCCCCGCCCCCAGCCTGCACACATTGGCTTCAGGTTCACAACCCCTGACTTGACTGGCTGACGACGAAATCAGTACTAGAAGGCACTACACAGCATCATTGCCCCTGTACCTCTATGGCAACTTTTGAAGTCTTAAGACCATGTATTTAAAAAAGTTGATTCCAGCAATTGTATTACTATACTAATTTAAACCTTAGGAACAGTGAATTTCTGGCAAAGAGCCAATGGACACTGTTTTTCCAGAACTCCAGTTGGAGTGAATTTCCTGGATAAAATAGAATGGTAGAAATTTTGAAATATGAGGATGCAGGTTAGGAAAGACAGAGGTGTGTACTTATTGCCATTTTGTTCATTGTTTTGGGGTTGTTTTTCTAGTTCTCTTTTGTTCCTTTCTTTTTGTTTTGCTCTTTTCTTGTGCTTTGATGACCATCTTCAGTATCTTGTTTGGATTCCTTTCTTTTATTTATTTATTTATTCATTTTACTTTTTTTTTATTTGATTTATT